ATGTTTGCTGGAATGAGTAGTTTCTTCTGTAGATATTGATAACTGATGCATCTCTGCTCGTTCTTTGTGTTACGAATTCATTATGGAGAATTTTTTAATTTTTCTTCAAAATGAAAACATGCGCCAGACATCTGCGCTATTTATTGTTGTTAAATCTTTTATCAGCCGAGCTTTTCTTTTTAACATTTTTTTCTCTTCAGAATTGTCGTTGAGTGGTGCGGATTGTTGTTGTTGTTATTGTTGCTGTTGTTGTTGTTGTTGCTTGTTAATCATCTCTCCGTTAAATTACATTGTTCTTATCAGTTTTTTGAGGTTGTATCGTTGTTCTTGTTGTTACAGCTGCTGTAGTTGTGTCGGCTTTGTCGTTACGTGAAAGTGGCTTCTTTCTCGATGTGGTTCCATAAGAGAGTGATCAATTCTAATGGCTGTTGCTGCTGTTCTCGTCTTTGCTGTAAGTTGTGTTGATGTATGTACGTAGTTTTGAAAATATTTACCTGAGATTGGGTAGTAATTGCTTGAGCAGTTTGTTTACAATGTTAATTTTAGAGACACTATTCAATGTTGTAATAGATTTATTCATTCACTCAAAAGAAGAACGGGGCCAACATTTCGGGTTGACGACTTTTTTTGGTCAAAACGACACTTTTTCGTTTCAAACAAAATCTTCAATAGTAGACTTTTAATACAAATATTGCTCACAACGGAAGGAAGACCGGTCCTTTGGACTGCTTCTCGCCACTGGATCTATTCTGATATTTAATTATTTGCCATTGTTTTCAGTTATTTTATTGGCTTTCAATTTTATCAACTTCCTTGAAAACATTTTGTATTTTATTGAAAACTTTGTTTTTTAATTGTCTTATTGTTTATCTGCTGTTTGGGTTGTCTTTGAGTGGCTCATTATATGTTGCAACACGGTGTAAGTGTGACATTAATATTGGTTTCGTGTTGTTTTTAACGTTGTGGCTCATGTTTACATGTTGCTTGTTGTATAGGCTGGTAATCAAAATGGTTATGATGTGTTGTTGTTATTACAGTTATTACATATTGCAGTTCGGAGTGTTTTTTTTATGTTGTTGCAGAGGATTGCGTTGTTGTTTGCACAGGTCTGTTGTAAATCTCAATAAGGTAGATACCCATTTGACACGTTGATGTTCAATCTTTTGTCCGTCTTATGTTACGGTTTCATTTTCCGGTTTTTTTTCCGATTCTCTGGTTGTTATCACCGTTGTAGTTTGTTGTGGTGGTTATTTTGTGTTATTCTTTCACTGATTGTTGTTGCTGATACTACTGAAGCTATTCAGATCATTAGTGGTCTAATGGTTAAAGCTTTTGGTCTTGGCGATGCGGTGACTGGATTCGAACGCTTGAGGTTGCGTGTTGCGCTTATTACAGATTTCTTAAATGTGCTTCTTTGTCTAATTGATACTTTACAAATCAATTGTTGGAAAAATTGAAAAATTTATATGATTAATGAAATTATTTTGTCGGAGCTGCAGACTCCAGAAGTTGGTTTAACTGTTGGAGAAAGTTTGAAATGTGTTGTTGTGTGTGTTGTTGTGTGTCTGCCTGTTGTTTATAAATATTGTTGTTTGTAAAAATTGTTAATAAAATAACACTTGCTAAAATTTGATTGTCGTTAACTACTTTGCTCAAAGCTTGTGTTTTACCATTTGTACACACGTGTGATGGTTTAATGGTTAGGGCGTCTGGTTTTGCTGTTGAATTGACTGCGTGCGAATGCTAAAAGCTCTTAGTACATCGCGTGCAGCACATTCGACGTGTGTGTGGATGTATCCGTATTCACATGTGCGTGTCTGAGTGTGTGTGTGTGTGTGTGTGTCTGTGGTGTGTGTTGTTGTTGATTGCTATGAAAATTAATGAAGAGAAAATTATTAATAATACTAAAAAGTATATTACTGTCGGAAATTATCTAGTGACAAGTTTGTTGTTGGTGTTTTAGGACAACGCTTGAGTGGTTGTTATTTTTTAAACGCTTTTACGAACATGTTTTGTTACTGCTACTACAACAACTTTTTGTGTTAGCCCAACAATGTCATTCGGCGACTTGTCATGTCATAAAAAGTTTATAATGTGTTTACGTTTTTGTATTGTTCTCCTAAGGCGTTTATGATGTTGTTGTTAATGTTTTTTTTATTGCGGCGATGTTAGGAAGTTGTTGATGTGATCTGAAAATCTATCATTTTCAATCCGTTGTTCGTCCACTTGTTAGTATAAACTTAACCGCAGCATTGTGTTACTGGTGACATTTTTGCATTTATTCTTGAATATTGCAAATGATTCTCCTCTCATCATTTATAGAATTTTGTTTCTTATAAGCTAGACAAGCATTTGGAAAGTTGATGCTAGCCTTTTGTTATGTTAGCGCTCCATTTAAACAACAAAATCTTTCAAAATAATTTGTTAATTCATTCCAAAATGAAACACATATATAAAAAAAATTACAATTGATGTCTTTAAATTTAACTGTACGGACAAAGAAGTTATTCCGTGCTGTCTTCTATAGAGGCAGACATTCATTTAATTAACTATTGATTCAGAAGCAGTTTTACATCGATTCATGCCTTTCATCTTTCCTTGACTAGTAGCTCTGAATTAATTATAGATTGTTTGGTAAAACAACAACAACATTTCTATCATTCATTTTATTCCATGTTAATTTTTACTTGTTAGTTTTTCAGAAATCTTCCGAAAAAATCCTTTTAAAATGCCTTTGTTTCGTGTGCTTACTTGATTTCTTTAGTAAGCAGTGTTTCACAGGCTTAATTTTGTCACAAACCCGATTTTTGTAGTATTTTGACAGTTTAATATATTTCAATGTATCATTAAAACAAAGAAGCTTTTCAGAATAAAATTGAAATGACGCGAACAAACGTTCTTAGACCAGCGTGAAATTTTTAATGAGAGTATTTAGCTGGCTGGTATACACGAATTAATATTTCAAAACTATTCATTAAAAATTCGTTGCCGTCCGTTTTTCAATTAGTGTTTCGAAGTTGAACTTGAATTAATGCGATCGATAGCGCGACTTAATTGATGACACTGCTCTTGTTTGAGAGTCGGTCTAAGTTATTGATTTGGAAATTAATTTTGTTTCTGTCTTTTGAAAATTATAATTTTTATTTATGATTTTCATGTGTTGCAAATTGTTATATCATAGAAATTTATTTATTTTTATTTTTGTTTGTTTGTTGAAGTTTCATTAAAATTGTTTGGTGAAAAGTTTTCAAGTTGGTAAAATGTTATTTGTTCCTTTCGCTGGAATATTTTTCATTGTTAGTTGTTATTCTGGCAGGCAGGCAATATCTTATAGTTAGCTGTTGTTTGATTTAATGCATGGTTTTCCTATTGTTTTTGCCAATGATTCTGTTTATTTTGTTGTCAGTGTTGTTGTTGTTGATTCAGTTGTTGTTGCTGTTGTTGTTGTAGTAGTAGTAGTTGTTGTTGTTGTTGATCATTGTAGTCGATATTTGTTTTGTTCTTCATTTATGTTGTTGTTGTTGTCATTTATTTAGGTTGAGTAATGTGTCATTGTTTTTTTTTCATCTGGACAATAGCGTGACGTCATTGTTTCTCTTTGTCTGGAAAAATTTTCAAAGTCGATCGACTCGTACGCTCTTCCACTTGTTTTCATTACGTGGTTGCAGTCCTAATGCATCCTTTTGTTTGTGTTTATTTGTTGTTTGGATTCTATTATTTGTTGTTGTTTGATTTTTGTTGTTGTTATTGTTCCTTAGTTTATTTGTTTTAGTTTATGTTTATTTGTTTATGTTTATGTTTATTTGTTGTTGTTTATATATTTGTGCTTGTTGTTTGTGTTTATATTTATGATGTTGTTTATTTTCATTTATTGTTGTTTAAACGTTAAATGTTGATTTTGCAAAAGTATCAAAATTTTCTCACGTTTTTGTATATTATTTGCTGTAATGGCTGGTTTATTTCCGAAATTTCTTCTGCCTCTGACTGAGCTCTTAAAACCGCCGATCAGAATTTTATGTACTTGTTAGTTGAATTATCTTCTTAGGTATCAACTATTATATTTCTTGCTCAGAGTGTGTTTTTTTTTGTGGTCTCGGTTGCAAAAGTCACTCAAGATAATTCAATTATTTCAATAAAAACACATTTTATAATTTTTATTTCGTAATTTGGACCAATTTGTAATGCTACAATTAAAAGGCGAACTTTTATATTTGTTCTACGCATGTTTTATTCTATAATGAATTAATCCAACAAAACGGTTTGTTATTGAATCGTAATGTTTTATTTTCACAGCGTTGTTTGCTGGCTGGTTTAGCAGGGTGAGTGAGGTATTTTTGCCTGTCCTGTTAAATTAATCTCCGCAATTCATCCTTTCGAACGGATAGGTTGGTACTTTTTATTAAAAGGGCGGCAACAAAATGTAATGATGTCTCTTACGTCTGGTTGCCTCGTTTCCAATTTTGGTTTTGCTGAAAAAGCTGCGATCTATGGAACCAAAATTGAGATTGTTGTCATTCGTGTGGTCGTCATTTCATTAGTTTAGCGTTATAATTAATTAATTATTTAATTGGTTATTGTTTATCTTGAATTAACTTTGAATTTTCTACTTGTTTATAACACTTTTGAAAAAAATCGTAAAACGTTCTTGTAATAATTTAGTTTTCAAACATTTAATTATTAAAATTAAGCAATTAAAATATGAAAGGGTTTCAAATTTTTAATTTGATATAAAACCAAAACAACATTATTCCGATGGTATAGTCTACAATGAAGAGCTTTATTTACAAATCTAATTTAGGTCATAAATCGTTCCACTAATAAATCAGGTGATTTTAGTCGATGTGTTTTCAAAGCTGGTCTCTATCTTCTGATTGCTCCGCTTCTATATACTCCATGCTGCATGATTTATTTCCTTAATTACAAGTTCATCTTCTGGGTTGTTTTTCAAAAGTTACACTGTTGCATAACTACCTCTCTGATGACACGTTTTGTTTCTTAACTTAAATTTCGGGTTCTAATGTTTCAAAAGCAAACTTCTTATTGTCAGAAATAGACATTTTTTCAGTGACCTTGTTAACTGAAAAATTTTGTTATTCAAATTGCAGTCAAGTTAAAAATTTGTAAAACTGTAAAATTTTCTAAATAATAACATTGGAATAAGTTTCATTTTTGTTGTAAACACTTTAAAAAACTATCTGCACATTCGATTGAAGCAGTGATAACAATAACAAAATCATTAAGTTTTGGCAAACTTAGTTCATAGAAAAAACAGAATCAACAAATACAAACAAGTTAAAAACTCAAATCAGATTAAAAACAACCATGAAAAGTGAACAAAAAAAAACAAAACAACTCAGCATCGTTACAAAAAAGCAAGAAAGCGACGCACGTTAGCCAATTAAGCCTGCAATATCCTGCCTGCTATCGCATTCTTGCATAATTGCTAATTTGCCGAGTCAACAAATTACCGCTGCAACATGATGCAACCGCAACCGCAACGACAACACAAAACAACGCTAGCAATTGCAACAAAGACAACCGCAACAACAACAACGACACAAAACAGCTTCAACAACAGCAACAACAACCGCAACAACAACAACCTCAACGCTAAACAACTCCAGCAATTTCATTTTTTCTGTTTGCATTTGAAAAGAACAACAGCAGTAACGATATAACAAAAAAACATACAAATCAGCATTAATTCATTTGCCTGCCATCGTCAGATTGTTCTATTTGAATTTGAAATAACATCAACTAAATGAACTAACTGAAATGAATAACCAAAACTTCATACCAAAAATTGTCTATGCCACACAGAATAGCTGTTAATATATTTAAATATATTAATTCAAAAAATGACAGGCCTATGATAGAATTAAAAAATTAAAAAAAAATTAAATGTCAAATAGAAAGCTATTTTTGGATTGGTGAACGTTGATTGTTGGGGTGCGCTTACAGTTTGTTTGTATGGTGTTTGTTCAGTTGTTTGAAGTTGCGCTATCTGCGTATGTGTATGTGCTTCTGTGGCTGAAGTTTTAAAATGTTTGAGTTATTTGACATATTCCACAGTTCAGCAAGATTAGATTTATTGGATCCTGTAATTTTGGGAAAAAAACTTAGGATTATTAATTTATTTCAAATAATATTCACTTTGATTGGGATTAAATTAAATTAATATGACCTAAAATAAATTTATATATTTGCCGAAAGATTATTTTTTAATTTTAATTTTAATTTAATATCGCGAAAATGTGTATTCAACCGTTACTAAATTGAGAGTTCTCCGTTAAGCAGGAATGTCGTTGATTGTTTAATTGCGTGTAGAAAAAATGATTAATAATACAATCAGTTATTTATTTTGTATTTAGTATGGACGTACCTTTTAACTTTTCGATTTGAAATTTTTGTAAAAAAAATTTTTAGTTGGATTGAATACGGAGCGCTTCATTATTCTTCAAAACCAATACTTTTTTTTCAAAAATTTATTTGAATTTCTTCGAATTTGAATCTTTCATCTAGCATTAAATGCTTTGTTGTTTATGAATATATAATACATTTTTTAAAGCTATTTATGCCATCTTGTGTTGGCGATAATTTGTTTGTTTGTTTGTGTGTATATATGTGTTTTTGTCAATGTGAGATTGCTTGTTTGTATGTGCGTGTGGCGTGCGGATTGGTTTTGTTTATGAATTTGTGTGTATGTATGTGTGTGTGTGTGTGTTTGTTTGTTTGTTTGTGTGTGTGTGTGTGTGTGTGTGGCTTTATATTGATTATTTCTTTCATGTTATTATGTAGTTGTATGTTGTATGTGTATGTGTCTATGTGTGTGTGTGTGTGTGTGTTTGTGCGTTTGTAGATAGGAGGAAGGCAATTCGATATGCAACTTGAAAGCCTTCTTCTATAAATGATCTTCTTCACCGCCAGTGCACATCTGTTTGTGCATTCATCGTCACAACTCTCTCTGCTTCAATCTCTTGCTGGGCAGTGAAGAATGAAAATGAAGTCAAATTGTTCAGAAATTATTAAATAAGTATTGTGGTGAAGAATGAAACTGAAGAGATTTTGAAATAATTTAATTCGGAGATGAAATGCAGTTAAATGTTTAACTGATATTTGATTGAATATTTTGTTTACGTGGTTGGATTGATTTTATCATTTACATATGTAAAACATCTTCTAATTTGTTTCTTTTTCCAATAAAATTCTCAAATGAAATTTGCAAAAAAAAGTTTGTCAGGAAGGAGCGGGTGGAATGTAAACAAGCAGAAAATGTGATAAACGGTCGACTTTTCAATTTGGAGTTGGCGACGAGATACTGCCGACAGAGCAGCGAGACAAAGCAATTTAAAGTTGAACAATTTTGTTACGTCAAAAGGAATGTTTGCTCATTTGGAAAAAAGTCATAGAAATGTATTGCCAGTCGGTGTTGGAACATATCTATTGATAAAGAGACTTCGTGTGTCGAGTCGTATTTGTTGTTTGTCATCTTGAATCACGTGTCTGTTTGCTGATGTTGCTATTTCAGCAGTTGTGGTGAAAGTTATCTTTACTTTGGTCTTATTATCTCTTTTATTACTATATTTATTATTATTGTTGTTGTTGTTTCTGTTGTTTTTGTTGTTGTTGTTGTTGTTGTGATGTTGTTTTTAATTTTTTTCATTCTTCTAGTTCTTTTTTCTCTTTTTTTTCATTCAGCCTATGTTTAAAATCAACACATAGGTTAACCTCTTTTCTTTTTTATATTATTATTACTATCATCATCATCATTATTACTATTATCATTATTATTATTATTAATATTATTATTATTATTAATATTATTATTATTATTATTATTATTATTATTATTATTATTATTATTATTATTATTATTATTATTATTATAATTACTACTATTATCATTATTATCATTATTATCATTATTATTATTATTATAATTATTATAATTATTATAATTATTATCATTATTATTATTGTTATTATTATTATTATTATTTTAGTTGTTGTTTGTTTGTTCCAACATTTCTGGGTAAAAAAAAACTAACCTAGATAAGCTATAATAATAATAATTTCTGGTTCAGACTGACTAAACTTTAATGAGATGTTCATGAAAATTTACAAGCAAGCAGCAAACTATTTTCTTCATACAAAAAGAAAACAACAACAAACAAAACAAATAAAAAACAAATTTTCATAGAAACTTTAAGAAATATTTGCTGGAGAAAATGTTGTTGTTGCTGTCTTAATAATGTTGTACCTTCCGTGCCTGACAATCCCAAGAGAGAGAGACAGAGACAGAGAGAGAGAGAGAGAGAGAGAGAGAGAGAGAGAGAGAGAGAGAGAGAGAGAGAGAGAAAGAAAGAGAGGAGAGAGAGGAAATAATTTGTTTTTATTTGTTCACGTTCCCCATCGTCGCGTGTGTTGCATTTGCCGGCACAATTGCTATATACGTGACGTGTTGTCTGTTCTGTTGATGTTGTTTGTTACTGTTGTTGTTGATGATGTTGTTGATGATTATCTATTTTTGTTGTTTGTTATTGTTGATGCTGATGATGATGTTAACGTTGATGATGATGTTGTTGATGAATATCTACTGACGGTGTATTCGGTCCTTCGGTTGTTGTTAGTATTGTGGTTGTTGTTGTTCCTTGAGTGGTTGTATGTGTTGCTGTAAGTATTGTTGTAAGGTCGTAATTTTTCATAATGTTTTTTTGTTGATGGTGACGTTGATGTTGTTGTTGATGTTGTCTTTGACCTTTTGTTGTTGATGATGTCTTTGACCTTCTTGTTGTTAATGTTGTCTTTGACCTTCTTGTTGTTAATGTTGTCTTTGACCTTCTTGTTGTTGATGTTGTCTTTGACCTTCTTGTTGTTGATGTTGTCTTTGAACTTTTTGTTGTTGATGTTGTCTTTGTCAATTGTTTTCATCTCTTTAGAAGGAAATATTTATTGCGTTGCTTTTTAGCTTGTTGACATTTTTTAAACTTTTTTTTTCATAAGATTATTAAAACTTTTCGAGTTGATATTTCATAGTTGCTGATGTTGTGAAAGTTGTTTAATTTACTGTCGATGTACTATGGAAACATTTCTTTAATGTTATTTATTGATAATTTTGGCAATTTGTTGTTAATTGAGAATTTGTATTTGTTGCTTTTGTCGCGGTTCCAGTTGTTGTTGTATTATCTGATTGGTTTTCCATGTTGATAAGTTTGAAATGTTGCTGATGTTTTTGTGGTTTGAATGGTTTTTGATGTTTCTAAAAGTTTTTTAAAATGTTTCTGGTGTTTTTGAAATGTTATTAATGAAACTGTTAAGGTTATTGTGTTGTGCTTGTTGTTATACCGGTTTTAAATGGTTTTTATTTTCACGTTGTTAAAATTTCGGTTGGTGATTTTATTTTTTTTTTGTTGTAATTTTGTTTTCATAGGGTGTGAATGTAAAATATTTTAGAAAATTGTTTGCTTGCCTGGTAACCAATTTAGTCGGTGAAATAGCTTCCAATGAAACAAGTTTCGAATCAGTTTCTTTAAATAATTCTATTCTGTTTTGCATTTGTGATTTTATTTTTGTTGATTTGTTGGAAAAGGTAGAGGCAATTATATTGATCAATTTGGTACTGAATAATTTTTGCCTGTTAAATTTTGTGTCTTTAAAAGAAATGTAATCCCAAAATTTTTTCGGTGAACCTGAACTAACTAACTTTGTACGCAACGATTTTGATTTATAACTGCGTGTGTGCGTATGCGTGTGTGTGTTTGTGTGAATGTGTGTGTGCCCGTGTGTCTGTGTGCGTGTGTGTGCAAACATTTGTGATGAAAGAAAAAATGAAAAGTAAACAGGCAATGACTGGCTCATGGACAAACAGAGCAAAATTATCTGCACGGGTGTGCGAGAGGTATTAGACATTTACAAATATGTTGGCAGAGAGAAAAATAAATATACGAAAAAAATAAACTACTTTCGTTAAAAATAAATAAAATACAAACAAGCAAACGAGCGAACAAATGAACAAGCAATCACACATGTAAACATACCTACCTACATACAAACCGACAGAAATACAAACATTAATATAGTAGCAAGCGAGCAACTTCGAATGTCATGATCCTGACGGCAAATTGAATCTCTAATATTATTCCTCATCATACAGGGATGCATTTATATGTGCGCATGGAAAATTAGTCGCTACATGTGAAAGCATATGCATGCATGCATGTTTGTATATTTGTTTAACAGTCTGTTTGTTTGTTGCATGTCTGTATACTAATTTGTATGCATGTTTGAACGTCTGTGCTATGCTGTATTTGTTTGAAAGTGTTGATTTATCATCTTTGTTAGCATTGCCTCTGGAGTAACGTTAATAGAACAAAGTAATTTTGTATAATATGCACTTGCAAATGAATTAATTGTGTGCCAAATAAAAAAATTCTTTAAAAATTAAACAAAATCGTGGCTGTATGGGTAAAAAAATTCATAAACATTGTAAAGGCTTGTATTTACTCTGAACTCCAGTTGATCAAGCAAATTCTTTTCTTACTTCGTACGTCAAACATGTGTCATCTCGTCCCGTGAATGTCTTCCATCTGATGTCAGGAGGCCGAACAAACACCACTGGACCAGTGAACATCCATTTAAGCCCCGCACAAACCTAGCAACAAATATTCACGTACATGCTTTGATTGTTAGCTAGGGTTGTAAACTTCGAGTGGAGCACAAGTTGCACGTGCAATCAAATGTCATCAAAATTTTAAACACGCAATTTTTTTTCATGCACAACTTTTTAAAAGCGGTTCGTGGAAAGACTATAACCTCAAACAACTCATCCACATCAATTTGCAGTCTGTGTAGATGTCCAATAATATTTTCATCATAACTTTTATAGATTATGCATTTAATTCATCCCAGCATTCGATTCGTCAATTCGTGAAAGCGTATGTATACTTGTTTGTATGTCTCTATACCATTTTGTATGCTTGCATGTCTGTTTACACGTTTATTTGTTTGTTTGTTTAATTGTATGCTTGCTTGTTTGATTGTGTGTCAATATATTGTTGATATGCGTGCTGTATGCTATTTACATCAATTAGTTTCAACAGTGGGCTTGTGAATTGTAAATCCATTCTTCAATATCAGCATTCGTACGTACAATCTACCTGACTGATAACCTACAATTGATTGGTTTCATGTTTATACAGTGATGGAGTTAGATGGGTTAGAACTGAAGAGACACTCATCATCCAAACGCATTGAAACGTTTTTTTAAAATTCCCTCGGTGAAAGTTTGACAAATTTTCAAAACTTAGGCCACCAGTTAAAGTCGTTTAGTTCCGCTACTGTGGTCAAATGCTGGTATGGGCTTATTTGTAACTCGTTCAGACAGACACGCACACATACGAAACCAAATAGACGCACACACACACACACACAACAAGCTTCCGGTTTTTATTAGTCTCAACGATCCACATCTCTATAAAGTTTTTGTAAAGATATAGTAGTACTAAATGTATATGATCCATGTGTAACATTTTTCATCACGCACACAAAACACATGTGAGCGTACTTAAGTCAGTTTTATGGCAGCAGTCAATTTATTCGCAAAAAAACATTCCATCTTTTCGATTTTCTATTTAACCATTATCTCAACTATCCAAATATTTATGCGATTAATTTTCTAATCATTTATCCATCCATCCATCCTACCACTCATCCATCCATCCATCCATCCATCCATCCATCCATCCGTCCGTCCCTCCATCCACTCACTCATTCACCCATCTATCCATCAATTCTCCCATCATTGTTTATATCCATCCATAACAGCAGCAGGGCATAGATCATTAGAACGAGTTGAAACTTTGTTTATGCGCCGGCGTATGAGGTTAGCGAGTTAATAAAACACGTTCAAAGCCTTCGACGTGAATAAAATGTTTTCTCATACCTCGCCCATACGTTCTCCAGCGCTGTCTCTCTACAATAAGTGCATGTTTCTGTGTGCACGTTGCGTTATTACGGAAATCTTTCATTGCGGTAACTCAGCATAAAATATGGTTGACAGTCCATTACAATTTTCCTGGGTTCAGTGGAATCAACAACACGCAAACAGCAAACATGGGTACGTGCTAAATGACGCATTAAGCCCGAGGCATGTGATAGGTAGAGGATTTTTTCGTCATTTTCGAACCCGGTAACTGCGAAACTGCAACAGGCGATTCTAACCATTAGACCACCACAGTGCCCAATTTATAAACTGACAACAACTGTCCTGAAAACTTTTTTAATGCACAAACATATCTTGTCAAGTTGTCCTAAATTTTATAGTTATGTAACATTTCTTGGTTTGCGTTTCTTTAGAGCCAATACTTACATTAATGAATGACGCATCAAATGCCCTTGCCATCCCAAAAAGTCAAGAAATATACATCTTCATGATAATCAATTTTGATTAAGAAGGCACCCAAATGTGTCGTGCAACTCCAAAATTCCTCTGTATAAAAAACTGTATTTCATTCTTTAATATTTCAATATATTACTCATTAATTAATTGCACAATTTCAAAATATACTTCTTTAGTTTCTTCATAAAGCTGCACAAGAGAACGTTAAAAATAAAGATGTTATGAGATAATAAACACAAAAAATTCATTCATATTTCTACAAAAAATTTACATTGAATATAGCTCAATTTTTTTAATTTTTAATATTTTTTTGTTAAAAAAACAACACAAACCCTTACAACCTCACGCAAAGAAGCAATCAAATTTCAAATCCATTCAAAACCAATTTAACCGGCAAACTATCGCTTTATGATCCAGCCTTGCAGACACTCGCAAGCAAGTCAAACGCCGCAAAACTTCAACTTTATTGCATCTTTCGCACTCGCGGCCTAAAAATAAACAACACCTAATCAGAGTAGGGCCGCAATAACTTACGCTCTGCTGATGTCTTATGTTCAATTCTGCCTCGCTCGCAATATTGAATGCGCCCTGCTCTGATGAATGTATGCCTTGTGTTTGTTAATTGCGCTCTACATCTTTCTGGCCTTTGTATTTTTGGTCTGTAAATTGTGTGGGCCCATTTCCAACCTCTCAGTTTTCTATCTCTCGTTCGTTACTTGTTTGTTGAATTTTTTTCGTAAAATTTTTGACTACTCTTTTTATTGTTAACAATTTCTGAAAAAAATTTAAATATTTGTGGTTATAGTTGTAATAAAAATAATGGATTCATAACGTAATCTAAAATATCACATCAACACTTACTGAAAGAAACAATTATATTATTTTAAACCAACAAATACATCTAAAAACATCATCTCAAAAAATTTCAACAAATTAAAAACCAAACAAAGCAAATATAAAAAATTTAAATAAACTTCAGAGCTCCTCGTCATGAGAAACCTAAATTTTGTAGGCGTAGCAGTGAGCTTTGTTATGTTAGAAACCATTGAGCAAAGTTTTAGGCCATTATTTTAATGCGTTTTATGAAGGTGACAATGGATGACAATGACCTACTGACCTGACCTCAGTTATTACATACTTTTTTCATTCCACTAGAACTTTTCTACCATTTTATAACTAAATGTACAATGTTGGTTCCACGCATTCGTTTCTGCAAACATAGTTCTGTGTACGTGCGTGCTTGTGTATGTTTAAACTAAAATTAACTTAAAATCAGTCTCAACATAATGGGCATAGAAATCATACTAAAATTTAAATTCAAACATAAATACACATTAATACACATAAATACGCAGGCATGTGAGCGCAGCTAAAAACGCTATCAAATTTTTGTCTCTTTAGCTGTTTAAAACACACAACATTAATTCATACACTTACGTATTACTGTAACGTCAAAGACGAAAGATCCAGCGACTTCGCAGTCAAAAGCTTGTCTTGCTTCGAACTGCTTTCATGACCACTTAGACACGTACCA